GGGGCCGGGCACGAAGCCCGGGCTCATGGAAGGGAGGCACTGTGTATTTCTCTGGCGGCCGCCACCAAATGTGCGCAGAGGACTGCACAGCAGGGCTTGGGCCTAGTGACTTGGGCCTAGTGGCGCCCCAGGCCGCTCCAGAGGGGGGTTGCTGCCCCAGCGCTGTCGCGAGCCTTTGATCTCTCGCGATGTGGCCAAACACCCGGACTTCAAGGGAGATGCTAGACTGTATCGAGAGGGCGGTCAACTCGGTGTACAGGGCGGCAAGCGGCAGCGGCGGCGGCGGCGGGCGCGACAGCGAAGGTGGGCGCGCACCCTGGGGTGTCGCAACTGTCAATATGCGCTCGTGCTGCATCTGGGCTGGCTGAGTCGAACAAGCTTCGCGCCGCGTCCATGCAGCGTGAGGCGTGCGTGCAGCAGGCAGCGGGGCGCATAGATCCGTCGTGCAGCATGCGCCCCGCCAAAGCACCTCGCATCCACACTTCCCCTCACACACACACACACACACACACACACACACACACACTCTCAGGCCGGCCTCTGAGCTACATCCGCATCGACGGCAAGACGGGGCCGACGAAGCGCTTCGACGCCACCACCCAATTCCAAGAGGAGGCCGGCTGCAGGGTGCGGCGCGGCTGGGCGCGAGGCGGCCAGCTTGCGGGGCTGGCAAGACACGCGGGGTTGCACTGAACAGTTTACAGCGAGCTTACTCGATCCTCGGTGGCCCATAACTTCGACAACGTAACTGAGGAACCAAGAGCACTCAAAGACAACTTTGCTTCGATACTTCCCACAGCGTCGCTGCTCCTCTTCCGCTACTGAATGTGACGCTCCTGACCCTTGCCTGTGCCGTCGCCTCGCACCCAACACCTAAACAGGTGGCGATCCTGCAGACTGTCGCGGCGGGCACGGGGCTGACACTCAATGCCGCCAGCACCGTCGTCTTTGCGGAGCTGACGTGGGTCCCTGGAGAGATCCTGCAGGTTCGTGCGCATACAGTGCGCGTACGCGCGTGCGGATGACGCACGTGCATGGGCGTGTGCATGATTTGTGCGCTAGTGCGTCGTCCTTGCGCACTGGTGTGTATGTGCCTCATGCGTGGTGTACACGTTCCGGGGGGTGGGGATGTGCATGATTGTGTGTTTTTCGTGAGGGGCGGGATCGTGATTGTGCGTCGGGCTGCCTGGCAATGGTGGGATGCAGCAGGCATGCGATTTTTTGCTCGAACTGGGGCCTCATCGACGAAGATCGGCTGCTCGCCAACCGTTGGGTCCTCCTAAACCCTGCAAACGCCAGCGCCGCCCGAAGCCCCTCAAACCCCCTCTCCCCGCAATGCGCCCGCGCGCCCTCTGCACCCGCACAGGCGGAGGACCGTGCCCACAGGATCGGGCAGGCACACAGCCACGTCAGCATTCAGTTCCTGCAGGTGCGCTCGCCCCTGGCAGCGGCCCGCGCCCCCCTTCGGCCCCGTAAGCCGCCCGTGCCCGACGGGCCCTGCCGCGCCGCACGTCTTATCAGCCACCCTGTTGTTTGTCCTGTTGCCCTGTCACCGCGCCCATTCCTGGCTTCCTCCAGTGCATGATCTCTCCTCTCAGACCCCAACAGCCGGGAGCCACCTTCTGCCCAGCTGCGCCTACTCGCACGCACACAGACAACCCCCTCTTCCTCTCTCTGTTCCTCTCTCTGTTCGTCTTCGGCCATCTCTTTTACGCACGCACGCGCACGCGCACACACACGCGCACACACACACACACACACACACACACACACACACACACACACACGCACTCCCACGGACTCATACCCAACCCCGCAGGTGCGCAACAGCGTGGACGAGGTCATGTGGGACGTGCTGCAGGCCAAGCTCAGCACCACAGGGGAGGTGCTGGACGGCCAGGCAGCAAACTTCCAGGTGCGCCACCAGGGCAGGGCCCACTCGTGGCCGGGGTCGCGCGGGGAGGGGGCGGCGCGCCTGTTGGGTGTGGGATCAGGGGTGTGTCCTGCAGCGTGTGCGTGCCGGGGGCGATGTAATGGTGAGTTGAGAGGGGGCGTCGGGGTGGGTGCGATCATCGTGGTGTGAGGATCACTGTTGAGGAGGGCTGCATTGGCGCGCAGGGTTGTGAGCGTGGGGGAACGCGCGCATGCGCGGGCGCTCCTTGCTCCTCCCTCCCCCCGCCCAGCAGCAGACACCTTGAGCGGCGCATTTGGCAGTGTGCGCCTGTCATTCTTTTCATAATTCTATAACATAATTGTCAAAAATTGTCAAGCAAGATCGCGCCGTCAGTTATGGATCGCTACGGCAACACTCGTTGCCGTCCAGGCGTCCGGCCATGCGCAGCCAATACCCCGCGCCGACGTGCTCCCAAAACACACCCACCGCCGCGCGCCCGACCGCCCTCCCCTCGCGCCCGCGCGCGCGCCACCCTCTCAGACGGAGGCGCCGCCTCCCTCAGCGGTCGCCCCGACGGACCGCGGGCAGACCAGCATGCTCCAATTCCTTGCGGCGCCGCCAATGCAGCCCGCGGCGCCACCTGTGGACGGCAGCAACGGCGGCCGCAGCGGGGGCAGCGGCTCGAGGCCGCGAAGCGGGGCCGGGGGGTCCGGGAGGGCCGGCAGCGGGGGGCCCAAGGGCCGCGCGCAGCAGCCTGCGGGAGGTGCGAGCGGGGGCCGGCAAACGCCGGCTGCAGCAGCGGCGGCGCCTTCAGGTGTGCTGCAGCAGCAGCAGCAGCAGCAGCATCAGCAGCAGCAGCAGCAGCAGCACAAGCCCACTCCTGGGGTCGTAAGCGGTGCGATGGAGGCGGCCACGGCTGACCGGAGCTCGGCAGAGGGGCGGCCACACCCGCAGGCCCCCTCGGGCGGCGCGTGCAGCGGAGCCGCTCAAGGAGCCACCATGCCGCCCTCACCGCCGCGTCCTCACGGCGGCGCGGGTGCGAGCGGCGCCTCCCTTGCTGACGTCACCGCCAGAGCGGCGTCTGCCGAGAACGCCGGCTCGCTGGCGCCGCCGGCACAGATGGGCGCCGGCTGGGGCAAGGGCCAGGCCGGGGAGGACGGGCAGGGCTGGGGGGCGGCCCTGTGCCAGGAGCAGCAGCTGAGGGGCCACGAGTGGCCTGGCAATGAATGGGCTGGTGCGGACGGGCCGAAGGGACAGCTGATCCGCGGCGGCCAAGCATCCTCGTCGCCATTGGAGCCGGCGGCCAAGCGCACCAGGGTCGACCTGGCCAAGTGGGAGGATGACGACTTCTGACAATGTTGAGTGCGCGCGGGTAGATTGTCCTCTTTCTGCTATAGATCACCATGCGCTGCAGCACTGCTTTCCAGACAGACACGCACGCCTTGTCACCGCCGTTTGTTGGTCGCATGCTGCGCACGCCTCGCTGCAAGCCGGCGTCGCCGGGTTCTACCAGGTCGCTGGGTGCCCCTTGGCTACCACGGATCTTTGCAGCTGACTGTGCAGAATTTTGTGCTTTCCGCTGGCCGCGACCTTCAGCCAAACCCTTGACCAGCATCCGAGCACGTTATTGATGCTTGCGTGGATTTTTTGACTGATATGGAAGTAAGTCTGCAACCACGCAGAGTGACTCAGTGAACCTCTGGATTGCCCTGTAAATGCCACTTGAGCATGTGTCACATTGGCCGGCATCAGCCTGCCTGGCGCATATTGCAGCGCTATGAAACAGGTGTGGATCGAACATGCACGGCGAGGGCCACAGCAAGTGCCCCGGTTAGGCCCAATGGAAGGTTGCGTACAAATGAGAGTGCAGGCATGCGTGCGAATTTGCATGAGCTTGCTGCTGTCCTCGCGTCCTGGGCGGGGGTTCCCAAGGTTGAGGCATAGAGGGGGAGTGCGACACCGGTCGAAGCTGCCGTCACTGCCGCCGCTGCGCCTCCAGCTGCTGCACGCGCGCCTGCTGCTCCGCCATCTCCCGCATTTTCTGCTGGTACCGCGCCTCGTCGCGCTGCAAGCCCGCCCTCATTGTCTACAGGGTCGCAGGTTGCGTGGACGGTGGGGGCCGCAGGGTCAGCGGCAATCGCATAGCAGAAGCACCACAACGGCGCCGAGGTACAGTAACACACAGCAGCAGAGCACGCAATGACACGGCGTGGGCTGCACTTGTGACAATCTGAAGTTGTTGAACCCATACACAGGCAGACAGGGTTCATGGGGACGGCTAGTTTTGGCCAAGCGCACCACGCCCCACACGCCCACCTCCTTTTGAAGCCGCTGCCAGTAGTGGATCCCCACAACCACCGCCGCCACGCCCACGGCAACGCCTATAAAAGTTCTTGTGCCTTTGCTAGACTGCATACGTCGAGTGTCGCTGTACAGACGGCTTGCGTGGTGTTCCTGCGAGATCGTTTTACTCGGCGTGCGCGCTGGAAGGCCCAGGCAATTCAAGTTAAGGACATTCACCTGAATTGGTAACATCATTACTGTCTGAATTGCACGCGATGGTGTGTGCGCAGCGGCGTAACCTGGTGTGGGATTGGTCGCTGTGGCTGGCGACTGTGGCAAGAAAGCTCTTGATGCCAAAGTGAGGGCTTTGCAAGCCAGAAGGATCTGCATGATGACTCACAGGATTCCAATGGCTAGCCCAGGTGCATAGGAAGAGTGTCTTCACGCATCACAAATCGCCCAAAACGCTCTCGCTGACCGTCGACTGGGGGCCAGCACAACTGCGTGCTCTGCATGGGCTTGCCGGCCCATGTGCTGTTCCAGTTTCCGTGAGATGCCTGTTGAAATTCTCCTTTCTGATTTGTATATGAAAAGGCCTTGCACGCAATGTCAGTGCGATCACGTTGATCACGTTGGCGCCAGGGCCCTCATGTGATCTCACACTGCCACAGTGCCGCCCGACTCCGCAATCATGCTGCCCGCCCCGCAGTCTGCTGCCAAAATGTGCCAACGGATACAGCAGCATGAGGGGTGTGGGCGAGGAGGTGGGAGCGCTGGGGCGACAGTTTGTCCAAGGCGCCCACAACATGTGAATCATCGATTGCCCGGAATTTGGACCTCAAACGGGTCTGTTCACATGTTGCGTCCAAATGTCTTGGCAAGATTCAAAGTTTGACTGTAATGCATGCTATCTAAGTCTCTGGTGCCAGTACAGGTCCAGCGACAGCTGCATCTAGCGCAGTCGGACTGACACCATCGCCCCAGGTGCCTGCTCACCTGCACCAAACCTGCACCAAACCAAACGCTTAGCTTCAGCTCCCCTACCTCCGGCTAGACCCTTAAAGCGTCTATGCCCATGGCGTTGTTTAGAGCTGATCAGACCGTGGCACCGACCAACATGGACGTGCATCGGAGTGTTTCTGTGGACCCTTGACGAGTGTGCAAAACTGACGGCACAACGCCAGGTTTCATCATCCTGCTGGAACCAATTTAATTTCTGCGGACACGCAGTTCGGCATCTGCCCAGCTGCCACACTTCGCCCGGGTGCCGTTGACGCGAACAGCAGCGTGTGCGCGACACGCATCTCGAGGCGCCGCAGCTGGAGGTGTGGCGGCCAAGACGGACGTAGGCCTAGCGCCACTCGCCGCCATGGGCCCCTTGATTGAGGCCGTGGCGGCGCCGAGGCCCCCTGCAGAGCGCCTGGTCACCGGTGAAGGTGACCCCCTGTGGTGCGAGGAGCAGCGCAGACAGCCCAGCACCAGCAGCAGCGGCGAGGCGTCCCCCAGGACCGCGCACGACCGCAGCGGCCAGCACTCTGCTGCGGGCGGCGGCGGCAACGCCGCCGCTGTGAAGAAACGGCGCATCAGGTGGGCCCCCCCTGCAGCTGCTGCAACCGGCTGCCTCAGCGGCCGCCTGCAGAGCCTTTGCCGCACTCTAAGAATCCTGGGCCTGGCCGCGGCCACTCCAAGGGATCATCACTCCGATCTGTACTCCAACAGTGATCTGGCACGGCAGCAGTGATCCGGCTCACGTAGGAATGCTTGTTTCCACAGGGCCAGCAAGAAGGGGGTCATAGACGACCTGGAACGAGAGGTGCGTGCCCTGCACATGTCACTGCCTGTGCCAACACTGACCACATGCGCGGGCGTCTTTGGCGCCGCCGCTGCTGGGCTGCAGCGCCGGCCAACGCCAGCCAGCGCGCCCCCCTTTGAGGCTCGCGCGTGCCCGCTAACTCCCGCACGCCTGGGCCCCCCTGCGGCGGGCGCCTGCGCGGCTCCATCGCAGCCGGCCCCGCACTTGGCGGCCCACATGCCCGCGCTGGCAGCTCCACCGCGCACTCCAATTGCCTGGATGCGTGGGACCCCCGCTGCTGCAAGCTTCTACATGCCGCAGCTTCCATCAACATTTCCCATATGTACCTATTCCGCTCGGCCCAAAACAGGTCTTGGCCAAGCTGTCGCAGGTGGAAGCTCTGCAGGCAGAGCATGCAGCGCTGAAGGCGCGGCTCACCCTGCTGCAGCGCGCAGTGGCGGGGCGCGATGACCAGGTGAGCCCGTTGTGTTGCAGGGGCGACCTTGGGCGCTGGCTCGTGCGAGAGTGCGCTCGGAGTGGACCACTGGACCCGGGATGGGCTCGGAGTGAGCTCTGCTTGTCCAGGGCTGCGACGCTTGCGCCGTCCGCGGCATGCGGCAGGGAGCGGCGTCAGGGCGCTCGACCAGGCGCCAAGGTGGGGCTGCTGATGTCATCTCAAACCCATCCCCTGCTTGCCAAATGCTGCTCGCCGCCCCCAACCTCTCCCCCCTCACCCTCACACACCCACACACACACCCTTCCACTCCTCGGTAACGATGCTGTACCCCTGGACCCTCTTTTGTTGACCCGTTTTACATTGCCAGATCTCTGTGATGCGATCCCTGGAGTTGGGAATCAACCGTCTGTGCGCCACCGACCCCGCTGCTCCCAGCGACCCTGGGGCCAACAGCTCCAGCACCGGCGGCGCGGCCGCGGGCGCCCCTCTGCCAGCGTCGTGCGCGCGCAGGTGGTGGCGCGGCGACACACCGGCAACGCCGCAGCAGGTCGCGGCCACGAGCGAAGAAGACGTGGTCGATTTGATCAGGGATTTTGTGAATGACGCGTCGCGCGCGCTGGTGTCACTGCAGCAGCAGGAGGAGCGATGGTGGTGCGACGGCGGCGCCGCCAGCTCCGGCGGGCGCGACTTGGAGGAGGAGAAGGCGGCAGGGCGCCGCTCGGCGGCGGCGCGGGCCGCGACCCAGGCGGCGGC